GAAAATCCCAGGCACACTGTATGATTCGCGGGAGATAACGTCAGATGGCGACTTAGCCCACCTGCATGGCTGGCTTAAACCAATCATGGAATCTGACTTAGTCCGGAAAGACTCTTAAATTAAGTTTTCACGGACCGATTCGTTTGATAGATACGATATCCGTGCACTTACAAAAAGAGGAAGTTTAAGAAACTTAATAATATTTATTTTATTTTCAATCTGTACTATTACATGGTAAGGTTTTAAGTTTAAGAAAAATCCCTCGAAAAAAATATATACCATGAATTATAATCTACTTTTTATATTTATTTAAAGAACATTATCTAGTCATATAAATGAATATATTAATAATTCAATGTAATGTTTTGTAGGTAAGATCTTTAATTTTAAACATTCGAAAGAAAAGTTATTTTTTAAAGGAAAGCTATATTATTTATTTAGGAAAATTTGTGTAAGGGAATTGAATACTTCCTTGGGGTTTTTCCAGTGGAGTTGACGTTAACTGTGACACCAGCGATAACCGAAGTTTAGCTTGTTTTGTGCCCAACCCGGCAGCATCGAGAGAGTTGCGTGTTTATTTTTTTTCACCTCAAACCCACTCCCATTTTCTTGTCTTTTTTGTCACTTTCAGCCATCAGTGGGTAGATAAGTGGGTGGATAAGTGGGTGGTTGGGTGGAGCAAACCCCTAAAAAAGGGGGAATGGGAGTGTATTAAAGAAACATCTGGCAGGTCGCCCCTTTCCTGCCCAAGGCAACGCCTTTTTCCTGATTCTGCTTAAATTTAATTTAAAGGCTCTGGCTGGACAAACAACTGCAAACATAATCAGGGGCGTTGGCCCTATTTATGGGCGTGGCTGCAGCAGCATTGACACAGCATTGGGTATCAGAAATTAGCGTGACCGAGCCTTAATTGTGGGCCAAGGAGGTTCGGGGCACAAAGGCGGCTTTTGTTGGCCAACTTGTGCTACGAAACCCGCTCGAGATTTAGTGCAAACAGGCAGCAAGTCAGGGAACAGTCGGAAGTTTGTTCAGTCCACTCGAATATTCGGAAGGGGGCACCAAGGGGTTAAGGCCTTTGTTGAACCCACTGCTCGCGGCAGGACCTTTGTCAGATTTAAACACTTTCGGACACTTGAGTTTGGCCCCGTTATTGAGACTTCGCTTTAAATTAACATAATTTCTACTTTTCTATTTTGTACTCTTTTTTTTCCTTTTTTTTTTTTAAGGCGTAGACCCTTCGATTGTAATAGAAAGTAATGCGCTTTGTGCCCCGACCCGATGATGATTATTATAAGTTTCGTTTTGGCCGGCCTTTTTATTGCTCAACCTGGGTCCGTCCATTAACCGAAATGAGTGCAATTCAAAATAATATTAGAGGACCCAACTGGGATGACACTTTCGCCCGAAAACCAGAAACTTTTCCTCCCAGCAGGACATTGCCGCTGATTGTTTTGCAAAGATTCCGATTCTGATTCGGATTCTGATTCGCACCCGGGATTTTGGGGGCTCCGTATGGGGATTCGTTCGTCGGCAACTTTGGCCGGCCAAAAATCATAAATCTTTTTAATTTCATTGATCAACTTTGGCCGGCTAAAACTTTTGCTGGGCCCCAAGGAAAGTTTCGCACTCGACTCCCTCAGGACATATTTTGTCCGACATTTAAATCGATGGCAGATAAATATTAAACTTAAATTTCCAATTCATTGCTGCAAAATTATGTGTTGCTCGAGTTTGCCGTTTTTTTTTTTTCGCTTGACGGAGCAGCCATATAAAATCATATTTAATGGGGAACAACATTTTCGATGACCGCAGGGGGGGGACAGGAAAACAAGGCGGAACCGGAAAATAAATAAATGCCATCGAATGAACAAAGAAGGGACGACAATTGGGTATAGTTGTGGCTCCCACGGTCCAGATAAGGAAGCTTATAAATTGAAACAAAATGGACAGTGATTGGAAAAATAAATGGGGCATACTGTCTAGCACAAAAAGGAAACCCATCGCCGGTTAGTTATGAAGTTAAAGTAAGTGCGGAAAAATAAGGTTAAATAATTCAACCTTGGTAACGTAGTCCTATATTTATTCAAATAATTTTCTGGTTTTATAAAATAACAAAAGCACCTTTTGAACTGAAATTAATCAACAGGAAAAAGTATCGTCTAACTGCTCAAATGCCGAATTAATTTACTGATTTTAAAAATTAATATCACTTCTATAATTACGTTTTTTTTCAAACAAAATCTGACTGCCTTAAAATTCTTTTTAATCTCAAGAGAATAAAGATCTTTTTCCTTCTTTAAAAAGGCAAGGGTCAACTTTTAATGAGCCTGCCTTATGCCGTCCGGAAAACTCTGATTTCCCAGCTCATGTCCTTTGCAGCACGATTTCCACTGCTTACATATACCCACTCGTTAATAACTTTGCATGTTGTTCCATAACAGCATCCTCGGTGTTTTCTGTAAATAACTTCTGAGAAAATGTTTGCGCAGTATGCAAAACTTTTCGATTGTGGCAAACGCTCCTTGAGCTCGGCACACGTGCATTGCGGAATTGATTTAAGAACTTCATAAATGGGTCAGAAATAAGTAATGAGAATCGCTGATTTTCTTTTGAAGTGCCTCAACGGAAACTATTGACAGCTGGAATATGGTGCTCAAAAAGCGGAAGGCAGCAGTTCAATCCAGTGGATGCGATTCAAAAGGACAGTATCGCAATCCTTCCTTTCAAAAGGGATTTAATATATACAATATTCACAATGAGAATGCCTCGTCGAAAGGCATTTCTTTGCTGCCCTTTGCGAATCTCCTTTTGGCTCATTTAAGAAATATTTAATTTCGAGAAAATGAATTATAAATGCAATTTGCAGTCAGCTATATTTCTTGTTTTTGCCGGCGCCTCGCTTATGATGCGTCTTTGTCCTCTTCCATCGAAGGACGGTTCTGGGCACAGAATTAATTAAGGCGCTGAAAGTTGATTTCAGGCTTAGATGGGGAATGCGGATCCGGAAGCCCTTGTGCCAATGCGACCACAACTGACCCAGTTGTTTAATTGAATTGAAGCCATAAACACTTTGAGCAGAACGACCACGGCCACAGAAAGCGCCAGTGAGCGGGTCTGGAATGAAAAATGGCCACGGCCAGGAGCACTCTCTAAATAACTTTAATTAGTAGTGCGAATGTGGCCATCAATCACCTTTGCCATTGCTCGACTGCGTGCGAGCGAGAGCGCCGCCGGAAACGGAAATGGGAAGCGGAAACGCCAGCGGAAGCCACGTGGCCATTGCTAAGCATTTTGACAGCTGTGCCTGTCGCTTATGCAACACACAGCACACACACTCGTGCACTGCACGAAAATGTCACAAGCTTAAGTGTGTGTAATTGATAGATTGAAGATATGCATGTGAAAGGGATTTTGATTTGTGCATAAAAAAATTGGATTTTACAATATATAATATTCGAATATGAATTGAAAATATGGTTTAGAATTTTAACTACTTTAGATGATAAAGCGTTTCAATTTATGTTGATTTATATATACATTGTTTACTTAGAAAAGCTCACATTGCAATCTCAAATTAGTTTCATTTTATTAAATGGATTTTTAATCTTTTTTCTCTAATATGTCGTGGAATTTTATTCGATATCTTTCAACTTAACGTAAAGGATGTTAAGTAAATAAAAAATTAAGACATTTTGCAGTGATTTAATCCGTTTAAGTAGACCCACTAGATTTTTCTATAGTAAAATTAATTGAACTATATTTTGTATTTCACAATAAAACATTCATGTCCTACTTCCCCTTTTTAACAGCATAATCTTTGTTTCATAATATTTCCCCGTGTATCCATGTATGTATAAAAAAAATTAAAGAAATTCAAGAAAGCGAGAAATTAATCAAATTGCAAATTTCATCAGCGTGGCGAAAAAGCTAGTGCAGATGTGGCGAGCGGAGGAGCTGGCGTTTTCAGCGACTGCCAGGCAAAGTTGTTGACATCTTCTGAGCCAACACGTACCGCCAGCACCAACAAAAATACACAAAAAGTAGTAAACACTTGACGGGAGCAGCAGAAACAACACAAACAAACAGCCACTACTGCCAAAGAGAAGGAAAGACCGGAGCAACAGCAAATGTTTGCTTAAAAATGATGCGAGCCTCACGAGAAGAGGAGTTTTCGGGATGGGATAGGATGGGATGGAATGGGATGAGATGGCTTTTGGATGGTTTTTGGACGGGGCGTATGCTTCTTCTGCTCCTGACAGATGCAAGACGCGTTGACAGTGACAAAGACAATGATGACGATGATGGTTATGTTGGGGATCGTGATGGTGACGGCGACGACGACGGGGGGATATGGGAACATGGCGGTGGAGGCCAGCATTCGGCATAATCCTGCTGACAAAATGTCATTACACCATCTACATAGTTGAAGTTGCCTTTTGAAGTTTTTCAAGCAGCGGGGGCATTGCAAGCTTAAATAAATAAATACGCTTCCCGCTGACAGCAAAAGTTGTTACGAATTGGATGTCCTGAGGGTTGAGCATTTCCATATTAACTAAAGATAAATTTTCTAGAAATATTTGCGCAATTACATTCATTTTTTGGTAACTCAGGCCATGGAGTTACTTGTTAAGATGGTATTAACTAGTTATATTAGTAACTTCCTTCTAATGTTGCTGTATTTGTAATTCTGAGGAGATTTACTTAAAATTGAAGTTTCAAATACTTTATGTACTTAATTACTTAAAAAACTATTTCAAAGGTAATAAATAGTCACCAATATATTTTTCAAGATTTAAACAATTTTACTCTTACACTTTTAATTAATCAAAACATAACATTTTCATGATAAAAAAGTTGATACATCCTTTCCGAATTTATAAGACATTAATCAATTTTCAAAACCCCATAAAAGAACTGGAGTAGAATACAAATAAAGTTTATAAATTTAAAGAGCTTGTTTTAAATGAAATGTATTCGTAACTCGCATCCTGTTTGCTTACCTCCGAATTTCCGTGGTAGTCCTTGTTCCGGAGTCTGTTTCGGCTACTGTTATTCCACTTTTCCCAAGAATCGGCAGTCACGCGAGTGTCCCAGTCATTGACAAATGGCCAGGGAGCTGGCTGCCATTGTTTTATTTTTATTTTATTTTATTTCTCTATGTTTCCCGAGCACTTTTCAGCGTTTTTCCCCCGCATCCACGCGAATTGGCCTAGTTTGTCTAGTATTTGGTGTTGTTTTTCGTTTTTAGTTTTCCGTGTGTTTTTCGTAGGCCTAAGCCGACTGCAGTTTTGAGTTACTTGGCACTTGTCTAATGCTTTTGTCTGATTTTCTCATGCTTTTCTTTTGCTTTTCTTATGCTTTTTCATGCTTTTTTGCCAGACGGGCGACGTTGTGTCTTCGCTTGCACTTGAGAAACCGTTATCTGGGTGGTGTGCAAGTGTGCGAAAGTGTGTGTGTTTTTGTGTGGTTGAATTAGCGAGTGAGACACGAACTTTTGACCCCGTTTCGACAATAACAACACGAGAAGAGCAGAGGAGGCTTGGCTTCTATTCTCCGGCTTTTTTTTCAACCGCTGACCGGCTTTTTGGCTTTTAACACGGAATGCGTTTACTGTTATGTCTGCTACTGTTTTCGGTTTACTACGGATTGTTTGATTTAAAGGCTATTTTTCGAGTGGCTTTCCTTTTATTGATTTGGCATGGTTTTATTACCAAAACAAACATGAAAGTCAGCCATTTTTGGTTTTATTTATGTCTATCATCAGCTGTCACTTTCACGCAAAACCTTATTTTTCTCTTAAAATGAATGGATTTACCGTTAGGTTATTTTCAAGCACTTTTCACTATTTTTGTTTTTAACAATAAATACTTCTGCAGATACATCTAGGGATTGTTTGCATTTATCGTTTTCCAGATTATTTATTGATTCGGCAGGGCGTTATTGACCGAAAAGTAATAAATTGTAGGCTTTTTTTCGCTTGTTTTTTATAGCCAATCAGTTCATAAACTCGAACTACTTTCCTCTCTGTTCCTCCCAAAAAGAGCGGATTTGCCGCAAGGGTTCTAAGCACTTTTCACTATTATAGCTCAAGTTTTTGGTTGGGGTTTTGCGCACGTTTTACGTAGCTTGCGGAAAACGGATAAAACATCCGTTAGCATGACGTTTTTGCTCCGCCTCACGAACTGAACTTAAGCGAAAACTGTGAAAATACGCGAAAAAGCCAGCATCTCAGCTCAGCTGTGATTGCGGTACTTTCGCTCTCGGGCTCTCTCTTTGGCGCCATCTAAAAAAATCCGTTCTCCACGTGGCCAGCGAACAGCTGTTGCCGCAGATGTTCCACTGAGCATGCGCAAAGGGAGCTCTTTTGGAATACAGGGAAATTATAAAGCTCCATTACTGGAAAAACTCTTGGCTGAGAACAGATTATCTTAACCATAAATATGTTTAACCAACACATCACCCAAAACTTTTGTACTACACCAATATGGAAACCAAAAGTTGGCGCGAAAGTCAACACTTTGCACATAAAGACATCTTTCCGCTTGGTTAACTTTTGGGGCCAACAAACTTTTCGCATTACCAAAAAGCCCACATTTTTTAACCCACATTTGGCATCAATTTAACCATTACATAGGGTTAAAGGACCTCTGTCGCTCACAAAAAATGTTCAAACTTTTTTACGCACTTGTGGAATTTGAAAATAATTTACCGAAGTTTAAAAAGGTTTGCAAAAACCGAAGAAAACCTACCACTAGTCTCAAAACAATCGGTTTTTTGTCATTAATTTTTTTTTAATTTTAGTTACGTTTTATATGTTAATTAATTACAAAACCCTAATGCATAAAAATGCAATAAAACGTCGAAACCCGCGTGCGCTCAAAGGGATTTGGTTCAGCAACAATGTCCGTCGTGACCGCTGTGGTTGTGCGAGTGGCCATGTCCGCTGGCTCGGTAGGCAACCTTGCCTTCTTCGTCGCCCGACTGCTTCGAAGCCTTGGCCTGATCCTCGTCGGCAAACTCGCTGAGGTCGCGTCGCATGGCATAGGCATCCTCGCCATCGGCATAGTATTTCGGCTCAACCTCGATGATCTTGAACTTGAGGGCGTTCGTGTAGAGGTTCAAGGCAGCCCGATTGCTCTTTCTAACATGCAGCGAGACGTACTGAGCATTAAAGCACTCTACCATGGCCTGCGAGGCCTGATTCATGAGTTTCTGCGCCAGACCCAATCGCCGATAGGAACGCTTTACCGCCAGCGAGGTGATGTGCCCATGACGACTCTCTTCGTTCGGTTCCGGTTCCTCCATTTTGGCCAGGACATAGCCCACAATGCTGCCCTTATCGTCCTCGGCGACATAGCTAAGCTGCGGCCAGGTGAGACCATGGTAGAAGTAGTACTTCATCTGGTAGTTCTCGGGCAGGCAAAGCAGATTGCAGTGCTGCATGGTCATCAAGTCCTCCGGTTTGGCGCAGCGGATGTTCATGGTGGTGGGTTATCCTTTAGGTTTACTGACTTATAACAAACTAGTCTCGACGAGCTTTCCTGGCTCTACCGTGCTGCTGCGGCTGTTGATTCTGGTGATCCCAAGCGAGTGGCTGCTGCTCCTCCGGCTCCTCTTGACCCAAAAGTTCACGAACCAGACGAAATTTCGATAGAAACGCCTTCCAGATGAGAAACCAGCCTGCAATGGGAGTACAATTTCCGTATTAGTTGTGACTCAGGCTATTGAAACTCGACTCAAAGATAGCGTGATCGTCTGCGGGTGCCTGCTTACCCAACAAAATAATTGCTGCGACGATACTAACAGAGGCTAATATGGTGAAAATGAAAACCAAGCCCGTTTGCAGGGACATTCTAACGGGGTAACTCAAAATCGGAAAACTATTAACATTTAACTACAAAAGAAATTATAAAAAAATACATTAAAACTACTTTCAGAAGGTAAGATTGTAACTTGGACACCAAATAAATGTTGGTTGATTTTTTTTGTTGCTGACTATCACAATAAAAAACAGCTGTCATACGAGTGTGGCCGTTTCACAGCACTGACAAATACCAGGGCTGCACTACTGTAATATGTAAAATTGGTAAAGGAATTATTAAAACATAAAACAATCCTTAATAACTGCTAAAAGGGTTTTAATAAACTTTAACAAAACAAATACACTTTACTTTAGCTTTACTAAGATTGCAAGCTTTTAGCTTTTCAAACTTTTGTTGCCACCAAAAACCACATGGGGTTAGAAAATCAGCTAGGTAATCTGCAGAAACTGCCCTTATTGTCATGTGTTCGACAAGCACTTTTTTACAACATGCTGAATTTACATATTGTCCCGCATTCGGATTAGTTTTAATTAATAACCACCTTGCTGTTGAACTGAATAATATTCGCGAAGCAAGCACACTTCTTGCACACTTATACACCGGCACCAGTATAACCAGCTCCGTAAAAGGAAAATATACCAAAAGTCACAATTCGAATTCGATAACAAGAAATACCATTGTCAAACATTCAAATTCTAATTGGGATATCCAATAAATAAAATTCAACGATTTTATTAAATAATTATGTAAAAAAAAGGGACATACAAGTTTACAAACTATTTGAGAACATTGGAACATAGTTTACAAAACTTGCGTAGTTCTAAAAGTAGTAAATTTTAAATACTGAAAACATTCTTAAGAAATACCAGGACGTTTTGTAGGTATGCTAAATCAGCTGTTGAACTAAAAAAAAAGTTGTTTTCATTTACCTACCCAAAAACAAAGCAATAAAGCAAATGCAAATTGTGCATTAAATAAAGACACAATGCAAGAATTTTCGGCAAAACGCGATGCATTGTTTGCATGTCTCGACGATGCGAGCAAGGAATTAAGGGGAACCGCCTTGGATCAAAGCAAGGCCAAGTCGTATTCCATCAACGCTCTCGATCGGGAAAAGAAATCCGGAAATGGCTCCGGATCCGGACAGGTGATGAACTATCGCCACGGCCGTAGCATTGATGTAGACCATGATCCGGAGGAAGGACGATTACGGCGGATGCGCGGCAAGGAGAGCATTTTCAAGAAGCCGGAACTGCCCATTGGACGCTGTTTGAAGCCCCGCAAGACTCCAGATTACCAGGTAATAAACACTAGGGAAACCACTAAGCAATACCTGTTAAATCCCTCGATTCCCCCAGATAAATCCCCACAAATGGAAGAAGTACTCCCTCTCCGATGTGGACATTTCCGATCAAAGCAATTCAGCCGCTGCTTTATCATTTCTCCGGCAAATGGACGCCCAACGAGAAGCCGAAGAAGATAATGAATCCCCGGATTCAGGTGGCAAAATAGAGTTCAAAAAGACCAGCAAACTCAACCGAAATCTCAAGAAGCTTCAACAGCAGGAAGTCGAAGATGTGGAACTGGATAAACCGCAGTTAAGAGGCTCCAAACTCGTGATGCCCGAGTATGTAATTGGCCAAAAACCGCAGAAACAAAAGAAATCAAAGACCAAGTCGAACCAGAATCGCGCCTCTGGGAAACTACAGCTTTCGCACTTGGCCGAGGAGGATGAACAGGATGAATAGGTTAAAACTTATGATCTTAAGATTATATATTTAACATCTAGTGTCCCCATAAAGTTTTTAGAATGTAAATAGTAAATAGACTTTCATTATACAAATTTGCATATGTTCTTTTACAAAACATTTCGTTCTGTCGAAAAATGAAAAATCGTTTATTTTGTAAAAGTAAAGTCTCTAAAATTAGACTGAAAAAGTGTGTTTAACTTACTTAATTGTTCCTTTTCTAATCTATTGAAAACAGACTGAAAATTGTTCCGAATTGTACTTAACTTTTCCATTTCTTAAATTTGGCTGGATGGATGAATTAAATTTAGAATTTGTTTTTCAATTAGCTGGCAGTTATCACATACAAATACATAATTTTTCTACCCTTAAATAGGTATACAATACGAATTTGAAGAACAAGTAGACGAGTATTGCTTACAAAACACACATATAGCTAGCACACATAATCTAAACGACATAAATGCGACGATACGAACATAAATTGGTTTAAAAATGCAAATATTAAGTCGGGAATGCTTTCATTATGGGCAGTGTCTGCTGCTATTCGCTGTAAAATCCCGGATTGAAGTAGAGTTTCTTGTTGAAGCCAAGATTGTCGAAGGCACCAGTCTGCATCGAACCCTTTTTGGTGCGCATATTGCCCACGGAGGCGTGCGTTTTCTTTAGGATGTCCTCGACGTTTGTATTGTGGGCATGCTCGGCCATCACGTCGCAGAACTTCTGGATGTACCAGCTGCCCGTCTCGGAATCCCTGTGTGTAACATAACCCGGAGTGTTGGCATAGCAGATGAGAGTATCGGCGAGAGTTGGCACATTTGTGTAGACGGAGGACATGCCCTCCGTCTCGATTTGAGGTTCAAGCTGTTTCGGCAGTGGAAGCACAGGCTCCGTGGCATCATAGTGACCCTTCGGCTGTCCCATATCGGGATGTTCGCCGCGGCAAAAGGGAAAGATTAGCACCTTTGGCTTGTGCACCAAGTACGGACTGATGTGCGCCTGGAAGTGGCTCTTAATCCTGTGCATATCGACAACGGATCCGTCGGAGAACTCCACCTTGTCGATCTCCTCCACTCGATTGCCATGCGTCATTAGCACCATTACAAAGCACTCGGTGTTTTGGACATACGTCGACGAGGTAACTTGGTCAAGTATTTTGAAGAACTGCTGCTGATCCATATTGCCATAGGCAAAAATGGTAAATCCCATTTCGCGGAAAAGGTGGATGAGCGAATTACTGTCCACCTCGGCGCCATTTCGCTTGCGTTTGGGATCCCGAAAGTCAATGATGTTCACCATGAGCAGCACACCGCGGTTGTGGCGTGATTGCATTTTATATGTGCCAACGACGTCATCCGTGTGTATCTTGTCCGACTTCTTCACCTCGCGCAGTTCTCCTTCGATGGGCTCCTCGAACGGGGTGATCGGTCCGAGCGGTTCGTTTATGGGCCTCTGAAAGGCAGGAAATAAGAAATGATAAGCTTAGCCGAATGATTCATTTTTAGTTTTCAAGTAAGCAACCAAGTTTTCCACTCCTGCAGTCACATGTTGTCCTAACAAGGTCATGGTGAAATTCACTTGTTGCACAAAATTAAAGAAGTCACAAATCTGTACGCATTTAATACGCAGTACTTTACTTCGCATTTCAAATTTCGATAAGGCTCTGGCGATGACGAAAGCCTTTCCCACTGGGAAAGTATTTGGGATAGGTTCACATGTGAGTGGAACCTATATCGGTGTATAATGAATGAAACAGTTGGCGAAAGTGTTATTATCAACGTCTACAGTTTAATTATGACAGGTGTAAAGCCTGTTTATAAGTGCAAACAATTAAGAACCTGTGCCATTTATAAAAAGACAAGCTATAATAAAGAGACTTGTTATATGTAACAATTTATAACCGTGAAGTACTATAATCAAAAGGGCCTAAAACCAGTACTTGAGAGCCTATAACTTTCCTTAATTATGTCCGATTTTGGAGAACAATATGAAGTACGAAATAAAAACCACATCCTAAAACCACATTCTGCGGTTAAGACCAAACATTCCTGAATCGCCCAAACAAGCAAATCGTTATTTATCAGCAAAGTTTATTGCATTCGAAGCTATGACGTAGGCATAACAATATATACCCCCATAAGTGCTAATTAATTATCTGCCACTAGAGACTTGCGTGCATGATTCACATGGGTTACTGACCTTTTTATTAGAGTCGAAAGATAAGTTTACTTAGTTCTTAAACAAATAAATAAAATATACCACTTACGGGTACTGCAATAAGTTGAAAACCAAAAAGAAAGTTGTTGTGGAAATAAAAGTATTTTTAATTTGAAAACAACTCACAAATGAATTCTAATTTCATCTGAATGGAAACAAAACAAAAATTTGTACAAATCCAGACTGCCTTTTCTAATTAGCAAATACTACTTGCGACGGGAATCTATAAACATGTTTTTGCCTGACTCATTCGGTCGTTGACCTACAAAACAACAACTTAGATGTCAAAATAAACCTGTTGCATGTATGAAAACCACCCATGTTTTTGTGTAGGGAACGTTTGGGGATCTCACCTTGCTGACACAGGCTCCTTCGCAGGTATCTGGCGACCGAGTATCCACGATGTCCGCTGATTTGCGACTGGTCTTCCGTTCGTTTAGCGAGATAAACGGTGGCCTTGAACTGGGTTCCTCCACGGATTCGAGTAGCTTGGCGGCATCCAAACAATTCACATTTTTCAGGGCAGTAATGAGAAGATTGTAGGCGGTGGGGCCTCGCTTGGTGATCTTCAAAAACAGCGCACGATGCATCTCCAATCGCACATCCTCCTCGTCCATGTTGAATCGCTCCCCATTGAGATCCTCCACGTTCCTGAGCATCGTGATAGACAGGAGGCCCAGGCGGACGCATTCGGCAGCCACTTGACCATAGTTCGTCGATTTCACCAGCAGATCCAGATTCTTGCGAATGTGCTCGCGATGCTTCTTCGGCATTCCAATCTCACGTTCGTGCGGCTCCATTCCGGATATCGCTTCCGTTTTTTATTCCGGGGACTCCGCTTATTAGGTGCTCCAAGGATATGTGTTGTTGTTTCAACTGGCAGTGATCAGTCTCCGAATCGGCAGTGATATTGGCAGTGAGTCACCTTCAAGGTTTTTCCGTAACTGACTTCGTTTGGCGCTCGTTTCGTTTCTTTGTCTCCGCTTTGTTGTCTTTTTTTTGTTGTGATTGCGGGGCAACAATCGAAGAACAAAAGTGTCCTTATTTTTCCAAAAGCAAATTACCTAGTCTAACTATTACACTAGACGATCCTTCGAGGGATCAGGGATCTTCAAATAAGATTTCTTTTGAAACAAAAGGACTTTCAGGCTCTTTACGGCAGCCAAACGCGACCGATTCGTTCGCTCGTCACCACTTAAAAAGTGCTATCTGTTGAGCTAGTGTGACCATTGTTGGGTTCACCAGTTAAACTGCATACCGCGGTATAAAAATATACCAAAATTTCCCTTAAATGTTTTTATAGTCTCGAAACTAAAAACTGTTACTCTTTTAAATAGCTCATTGATTGATTATTAAAGTATGGGAATGTAGGAGGTAAGATGAATAAGATTCGACACAATTGAGACAATTAAAATCGTTAAAAATAGTTTTCAATGTATTCAAATTTCACAAGAGGAAATACTAAAGGTCTTGTGGTCACCCTAAAACTGATTTGGCGAAAAACCAAAACAAAACGCGCAATCCGAAAAACATAAACAAAGATCATGGAGGAAAGCCAATTTAAGCCGAAAACAAATAACTCTGTGGACAAAACTTCATCCAAGATTTCCGCATTCCCAAGGGATGTGAAACTAAAGCTGCAAAGGCATCTAAACAGGTGTGGTTATTCGCAACAAGTCCTTTTGGAAGCAGCCAAACACAACAATCATAATTACACAAACGGGCTTTTCAGTAAGTCTCATGAATAGCAACATTAAGACTGGGTCGATGAATAATTTAATCCATTTCAGATTATGTGGGCACGACGATAGAGAGGGGACAGGAAATGGTGAAGAATGAGGACTCCGTCAGTCTGAACAACATCACCCAGTGGCTGGAACTAATGAAAAATGCCCAACTCTCAGAACTCTGCGAATTTGAGGCAGCAGCGGTTGTGAATTCCCTAACCCAAAATGAAATAAAGCCACCTCCGGATGAACTAAATGAGATTGATTTAAAGTAAGGATGTAACTCTTCCCGAAACTGTTGTTCAAAGCCACTTATAATGCTAACAAATTTATATATTTGCATGGAATCCAAAATTTCTTTCTGTCTTTCAGCGAAGCCTATAAATTTGTGGAAAATGCACTGATGGGCCAGCCCCAAAAGAAGCTAAGTAACGCCACCAAGGCATTTCTCTCCAAAGAAATCGAAGTGAGCCAAAAACACATCTGTCCCAAAAGCTCTTTTCAAATAATCATTTTATTCCCAACAGCTCCTTATAGAGGAGGCCAATTCCGAGGAATCAGATGCTTTGGCCCGCCGAATGGGGCAGCGTCTATATGATCACCAGATCATCGACTATATGGAACAGCCCCACAAATGCAGCTTGGATCCACTCTTTCTGGACGAAAATCCAACGTAGAGGCTAGATAAAAGTTATAAGCTAGGCCATTTATTCATTTCCACACATTTATTAAACATTTAAATTCAATTTTTGTTATATACGTACATTGTCACATGCATTTGCACTTTTCCATCTTCAATCAACCGTCGATCCCTCGTTTATACATAAGTATGACTATGCCGAATGCCCCAAACTTTGTACGTATTAATATTCGATAATTACACTCATAAGTAAGTACTTGACTATAAACAGTTTTAGCACATTTAAAATCTAGAATTCCTTTAGTTGTACACAATTACTTCAAGTAGTGTAAGTACGAATATAAGAAAAAGTTTTTGGGTCTTTGGCCTTGGATTCTCTCAATTGCATAACATTTATTGTGCATGATTGTTTTCAAAGGTTTGGTTGCCAATTTGCATTGCATAGACTAGAGTAGAGATAGGTAGCTTAGTTTTGGTTTTGCTTTGATTAGCTTTGTTTTAAACTTTAAGAGGCATAAAAACAGTTGAGTGCTGCTTGACTCCCATAGCATCACAATAGAATCACAAGAGACAGAGTTGGCTTCATTTCAATTTCAATTTCAATTTCATTACAGGTTCTAGGATGTCACACTTACGATAACATAACGTACATACGATCAGAGTTACATACAAATTCGAATACAAATATAATACCCTTTAATATTAACCGTAGTTATTCTCATTAAAACGATCTTCACACAATCAAATGCAATTCAATAATGTACATAATATAATTCTTAAATGTTCAGTCCAGTTTGAGCTTTTGGTTTTCCCCTTTTCTTTTCTTTTTTTTTTTTTTTTTTTGGTTTGTTTGTTTAGTTGTGTGTCTTCACGTAAACATTAATTAAAATTAAGTAAATCTAATTATGTATACGTACGATTAAACGCTAGAAAACCATATCGATATGCCTTGTCTAAGATCGCAAAATGTAAACGAAATAAAAACGATAACGAAAACGAAAACTCAGACTGAACAAAATGCAAAAGCAGATTCGGGTGCATGGCAAGGATATGCTGGAGTTTCAAGATCATTAGCTGGCATTAAACAAACGCAGATCCCAAGGATCGAACAAACACAACGACAACAACGAAACAGAAAACGTTAACTGGTAGTTGGAAATTCGTAGTTCGTAATTATAGTGTCGGTAGAATTTTGATTGTCCCGTTCCCGTTCGCGTTATTCAGAGCACAGATCATATTATTTAATGTATATAAAGTAGGTTTTAGCGTGTCCTAGGTAGAGTTCGTCTTTCATCTTGCTTGTATACATATATAAATTCATATTTGGTTTTTTCTTTATTCACTTCTATTCCGCTAAACATACCACAACAATGATAATCGCTTTAATTGCAGTTTACGTAATGAATACATTAATGACTTCTTCACTAAAAAGTTTCGAGAGTTTACCATTTACCACACTAATATATGCGTATTAGCTGCCCAACTATACAAATTGACTATAAATTTGAGATTGAGATTGCCTTCAGGAACATCGGCTTCATTAATTATTCTTATTCTGGCTCTATTCCGATTTTAATAAGTAGATTTGGTTCGGTGGACCTTGGATTGGATATTCGTGTATTCACCTTAGTAGTAGTTTTGGGTGTGGAATTGATTGGAGATATTCCAGTTGAACAGAGTGTATATATAATGGATTGGATTGGGATGATGGGGTCTATATATGTGATTCATCATTGTAAGGCGCAGGCGGGAACCCCCAAGGTTCTTGGCTAAAAATAAACATCTCTTCACATTCTTGGTTATTTATATTCATATTTTTTTTCTTTTTGATTGCGTTTGCTGTAAAGCTCTGTGATAAGTTTGGTTTTTTATGGTGCTAGGTACGATGTAGGTACACGATTTCCACTTATTTGGCATTGTATTTATGTATATCTGAGATAACGATATGACTGATGTTTGCAAAATAAATATACACTTTGTATTTGCGTTGCTGTTTTCGTCCCTTGCCGATGTAACGTGATATGGTTCGGTTATCAATGGTGTGAATAAAAATGATATTCGTGAGCCTAATGACACATAGAGGAATATTTGACATGTACTTTGGCCTAGCGTAAACATTCATAATAAATATATATTTAAGAGTAGCTTGGGTTTCTATGAATTGATTGCATTCTGCATAGTGTTTCTTTGTTTTCTCTGGATCGTGTGATTGTGTGGGGTTGTGTTTGACACTTTTGTTTTGGATAAATTACAATTAATTTGTGATTATTATGTTGCTTTGGTCACATCGAATTGGATTGGCTAACAACATTTAGAGTTTCGACTGAAAATACGTAGTTAAGCTTGCTTCTGGTATACACGTTTACAATTTGATATATTTTTTTGTTTATAGCGCTAATATAAGTTGATTACTGGTGTTTCATAAATGGACCGAAATTGCATTGAAAAGTAATTGGATTCTTTTGAACGTATTTATCTGTTTTGCGTTTCTGTATCTTTAGTTACGTCCGGAGAATAGTTGATACTGTAATAGAGTTGTTGCAAGATAATTAGGCCATCAATCTGGTTGTTCGGTTTCAAACGATTTTCAAAATACATATATTGTTACATAATTGGGTATTGGTATCTAGCTACTGGGCAAATACTATACGTTGGGAACTGCTGAAGCTACTTGGTTTCGAAGTATCTCGCACTCCGTTACGGTTATTACGTACATTACGGGAATTACGAATACGAATTACGGGAAAAACACCAAATAATTGGAGACAATTAGAAGAGAAGGGGTTCACACACAATATATGGTTACCATTAAGAGTAGTATTTATTAATTTGGTAAAGGGGTAGGGAGAAACATCGGGTTCGGTTCTCATGCATCGATTCGATTCTCAGGGTTTGGTTCCTATTTTCCGGTTATTTTGCGGGATGGAGAGTATCTGGATTATCTGGGATCTATTGCATATTGTGGGGTTCAAACTACGAACATTTAGCTAGGGTCGACTTACTTCTAGGTGTACGTGTCTGTGTTGGACTTCCACCGGATGTTGTGGGTGACTACAAAACTACTACTAAGGTACAATTGTGGATGAGTGTGGGTATAATCGGGGGTTTCCGGCGACCTCTCACTTCCGGTTGACTTACGTTAGATATGGGTAGCTACTCTTTTCGATCTTATCAAGTTGGTTTCTATATATATTCACGATTTGTCGCACAATCTACGCACTACGCACTTGGAATGCGAGAACCTTTGAACTCTTAAGGCACATTTCGAAGTATAATCATAATCATAAGTACGGCGAAAGCAAATCAAAATATTAAATGCACAAGCGGGTGGGGAATTCAAATTGGGTTGAAGGTCAAAGCAACACTGATTGTGCAAAAGCCAAGTATACATTTAAAAGTTACAATAAATTCGCAATGACTTAATCGCAATAGAGTAAAATACAATACAAATGCATATCAACATCTGGTAAGTCGGTTAACAGATTTCTATATAGTTCAGATCGGTATATGTGGATATATGCAAGATAGCAGGTATAGCAGCCTTCTGAAGCCTTCAGTGTCAGTCAATCAATCAAGTTTACACATATGTTTATTTTACAATATCTCTGTGATCAGCAGCTTATTTCGATTTGATCTTCATTTCTCCAGTTTTCTCATTTGAATATCTCAATTCTCTGTTGTTGTATTTTCAGAATATCTATAGTGCAGTTCAGATGGGCAGAAAGTAAAATGGCAAGTCAAGTAGTACAGATACATTCACAATGCCATGGAAAACGTCAATTCCAAAACACTTAGGAACACCAACAATATTTTACAGCTGCAAGAAAATGCTGAATCAAATTGTTTTTCAAATAAATAAAAATTGCAGGCGCATGCATTTCAACGGTTTTGTTTTTGTTTCTTATAGTTTGAACTACTAAAAAATATTGTTTTTCACCTATCCTTAAATTTTTTAATATTTATTAAGTCCAGTGAAACCTAGAGTAAAGATTTTAAGATCTATGAAGTTGGAAGATTCAAATTCCCATGCATTTTCGTTGGATGAAGTTTTAAATTTTAAGAAAATGCAAATAGCAAAAAGTTTAATTGTTGTCTGATGCCTTCTCATAATGTAAAAAACGTTAAACGTATCAAAATATTTTAAAAAGTTTAAAAGCAATACCCCAAGTTCCCAGTTAATATAATTATAATAAAAAAACAAGCAATTAAACCATGCACAAATGTTTTTGAAAGAGCATTAAACAATTTTCAAAAATTGAAAACAAAATATTTTAAAACTATAAAAACAATTACAAATTATCGTAATAATTAATAAGCAATGTACCTTGATTACTGCAGTGTACAGCAACTTAATTGTATTAACTTAATATACGTTGCTAACTGTATCTACCCTATTAAAGTATAACTGCGGGTCCAACTAACTAACTCGCATGAGTGTGAGCAGGATGTATGCCATTTAATCCGGCATAAATCCGATAAATTCATAGTGCAGGTGCTTAAGCTAAACTAGCTGGTAATGTGGGCTTTAACAGTAATAACACTATCGTTGCATTTACAAGCACGATTACCAGGACGACAACGCCAAAGGATTCAAATTAAGTTAACATCACGTTTCGCACATCAACACACACACACACATACACACACGCACAGGCAACAGTGGCAATAGTGTTTGTGTGTGGGTGGCAAATTCTGGGGATTCGCTGAAATTTTATTTTCCAATCACTAATTGAATTCGACAACTCACACGGTCGTTATTTGATTTTTAGTTCTTTCTGTTCTTTTTTTTCTGTTTTTGGTTTGTTGGGATAAGGATTCAAAATCGATTGGAGTGGCAACAACTAAGATAATTAATAATGTCAATCAATAATAAGGATAAATAGTAGTTAGTAGTATCCAATTTGGGCTATGTGGTGGATAACTTTGTTACGATTTCGGATATGTTTCAACATTAACACTTATAGTACAATACAAATATAGGACTTGAATAAATTCTCCAAAAAACAACAGTTGCGTATTCGTACTAATTAGTATGCATATAAATATCGGTATAATAATTCGATTTTAGATATAAGTTTGGTATTGATTTTGTACGTATAACTAGGC